CCTTAGCCACTTGAGCCACAGGCGCCGAGCCAGGTGACGAGTTCAAACCCGGCCCCAGCCAAACTGCAACAACAACAACAACAACAACAACAAAAATAGCCAGGCGTGTGGGGGGCGCCTGCAGTCCCAGCTACTTGGGAGGCTGAGACAAGAATCACCTAAGCCCAAGAACTAGAAGTTGCTCTGAGCTGTGATGCCACAGCACTCTACCAAGGGTGACAAAGTGAGACTCTGTCTCTTAAAAAAATAATAATAATAAAGAAAGAAAGTCTTGCTCTATCACACAGGCTGGAATGCAGTGACCTAATCATAGCGCACTGTAACTTTAACTCCTAGCTTCAAGTGATCCTTCCAAAGTGCTGAGATTACAGGCGTTAGCCACCACACCCAGCCCATATAAACTTTAGAATTAACTTGTCATTAAGAAAACATAATCATGGCCAAGGGCAGTGGTTCATGCCTGTAATCCTGATGCTGTGGGAGGCTGAGGCAGGAGGATGCCTGGAGCTCAGGAGTTTGAGACCAGCCTGAACAAATGTGAGACCTGTCTCTACTAAAAATAGAAAAGTTAGTGGGCGGCGCCTGTGGCTCAAAGAGTAGGGTGCTGGCCCCATATATGGGGGTGGTGGGTTCAAGCCTGGCCTCCGCCAAAAACTGCAAAAAAGAAAAAAGAAAAATTATCCAGGCCTTGTGGTGGGCACCTGTAGTCCCAGCTACTTGGGAGGCTGAGGCAGAATCCCTTGAACCCAGGAGGTTGCTGTGTGCTCTGATGACACCATGGGACTCTAGCCTGGACAACAGAGTAAGACTTTGTCTAAAAAAAAAAAAAAAGTACTAGGCCAAGCCTAATGGTTCAGTAATCCTAGCACTCTGGGAGGCTGAGGTGGGTGGATTGCCTGAGCTCAGGAGTTTGAGACCAGCCTGAACCAGAGCTAGACCTCGTCTCTTAAAAAAAAAAAAAAAAAAGCCAGGAGCTAGTAGTCCTAGCTACTTGGGAGAATCACTTAAGCCTAAGAGTTTGAGGTGGCTGTGAGCTGTGACACCACAGCACAAAGATGACAAAATAAGACTCTATTTCAAAAAAAAAAAAAAGGCTCAGCACCTGTGGCTCAAGTGGCTAAGGCACTGGCCACATACACCTAAAGTGGTAGGTTCAAATCCAGCCTAGGCCTGCCAAACAACAATGA